ATTCGGGGCATCTGATACCTGCTTATATATCAAATACTTCTCGAGAGTATGCAACCCATCCAAAAAACGATTAGTCGCCGACCCTTTAATGGTCGGCGTAAACTCATTTGCTTCATCCATCCACTCTAACACACTTTTGGTCTCCGAGAAGCTCTCATGCATGTACACAAATGCCCAAGGTCTACTCAGCAAATTAGCAGAATTAAGACTTCGACACGCGTCTGCAGCTTGGGACCTCATCGCTGTCACCGAAACGTGGTTGCACTGCGAGATAACGGATGCTGAGATTGCACTAACGGGCATGTCCGTTGTCCGGAAGGATCGAACCAGCAAAGGTGGTGGGGTAGCCCTTTATTTTCGTAACAACATGCAATGCGAACGCATAAACGATTCGGAAACCGACGTACCTGACGCCATTTGGTGTAATTTCCGGCTAAGAGGGAACGATCTTGGCCTATTGGTTGTTGTTTACCGCCCACCATCGTCTACTCCTGAGATGGACTGCAATTTGATGGCTGCGTTGAGGCAAGTGATAAAGAGGAAGTACAGTCACATTCTAGTCACCGGTGACTTCAACTTACATGCCCTCGAATCCCAGGCCACACCAGGAGAGCAATTCAAAGCAGAGTTGCAAGATCTGGTTTCAGACTACCCTCTTTATGGCCACGTCACTACGCCCACCAGATTCAGGGGAACTGACAGGCCATCCATGTTGGACCGAATATTCACCAATGAAGAACTGATGGTCGAGAGAGTGATAACAGATACTCCTTTGGGCCGCAGTGATCATGCGACGCTATTGTTTCATTACATGTGCTACGCGGATTATCCAATAGAGCATACCGAGGAATATCGTGTCGTAACCAACTACGAAGACCTGTCCGACCTAATTGATGCAACAAGCTGGTCGTTCTTAGCTGAATTAACCCCTGAGGTGGCCTGCGGTGAATTCGTCAACATATTTACCAAGCTCGTGGCAAGGACATCTGAAGCCAAACTCTACCGACCTAAAAGGATGAAGCCTTTCGTAAGGAGCAGGACACGTAAGTGCATGGCATTAAGGGACTTGGCATGGCACACCTACATAGCCTCCCCGAACGACCATACCTGGGAGGTCTACACAATACAAAGGAACCACTGTGTCAAACTCGTCCGGGAGGATAAACTTAAGAACCAACAAGGTTTAGTGGAAAAGTTTTGCTCCAATCCCAAACTGCTATACAGACACGTAAACAATTTGCGCCGTGTTAAGCGCGGTATTCCTGCTCTGCACACAGCATGCGGGTTAGCCCAAACCGCACAAGAGGCGGCCAACGTCCTTGGACAACAATTTGGCCGTACCTTCCAAAGCGCGCAATCACCATACATCCTGCCTAAGCAGATAACGCCGCCATCAGGGCTTAATCACATATCGTTTACCTCCGCAGCTGTACTGAAGAGGCTGATGTCTCTGCGCGAGTTCAGCTCCCCGGGTGCGGACGGCATTCGACCGAAGGCGTTGAAAGTTGCTGCCATGAGTTTGGCAGGACCATTAGCAATTTTCTTTCAACGATGTCTGAACGAGATGCACGTCCCCACGATGTGGAAGCACGGAATCATCACGCCTATCTACAAAAGTGGTAGCCGTGCTGAACCAGCAAACTATCGCCCGATAACACTACTGCCTGTGATCTCCAAGGTTATGGAGTCCATTGTAGCTGAGGCTTTAATGGGGTACCTGGAGAACAACCAAATTCTCGTTCCGGAACAGCATGGATTTCGCCAAAATCACTCCTGTACAACTAATCTCTTGATTGCTCGTGCAAGCTGGACGGAATCTGTGGACGCTGGTGTAGGAGTCGACGCGGCCTACTTGGATTTCTCAAAGGCATTCGACCGCATAGACCATCGCATTCTCCTCCACAAACTCCAGAAATATGGAATCGGTGATCCTGTTCTGGGCTGGATAGGAGACTTTCTCGTGCAACGTCACCTGAATGTGAGGGTTCGAAGCAACCTATCAGAATCCATCGAAGTTCAATGCGGCGTACCTCAGGGCTCGGTACTTGGACCCCGCCTGTTCCTGGTCTTCATAAATGATCTCGCGAGTGTGCTATCTTCTAACTGTTTGCTATTTGCTGATGACCTAAAGGTATGGCGTACTATAGCTGCAGTGGAGGATCACACATTCTTACAGGAGGACCTGGACAAAGCGTACACATGGTCCATCGAGAACATGCTGCATTTCAACGTCACCAAGTGCAAAGTTCTCAGTATACGGCACAAGAGTATGCACAACTACCGCCTAGGACCACAAATTCTACAGCGGGCTTCTCACGAGTGCGATCTCGGTGTGATAGTTCAAGATGACCTCGGTTGTTCGAGGCAGACTGAAAAGGCAGCTAAGAAAGCGAACCAGTACCTCGGCCTTCTTCGTAGAGCCTTCGGGAAGTTTGACCCTTCAGTCTTTCCAAAAATGCTTAGTGCGTACGTGAGGCCGCACGCGGAATACTCTATCCAAGCGTGGCAACCCTGGCTCAAGCACCATCTCACCGCGCTCGATACTGCACAACGTAGGGCAACGAAGAGCGTCAGAGGTTTGACCAGCCTCCCCTACCCACTCAGGCTGAAGACCCTCAAAATATACAGTGGACGTTATCGGCGTCTAAGGGGCGATCTCATAATGGTGTACCTAATCCTGAGAGACCCCAACCACCCATGCCATTCCCTTCTAATACTCAGTCAAAACACCTCGCTAAGAGGTCACCAGTTTAAGTTAGTCACGCAGTACAGCCGCCTGGAATGTCGGCGAAACTATTTCTCCCTTCGAGTGGCACAGCCTTGGAACGCCCTCCCGGAACATGTAATTAATGCACCCACCCTATCCCTTTTCAAAAAACGCCTTGACGATACCCTGTCACATTTACACTACGTGCTATAGCTCATGACCACCAGATGCTGGCACTAATGCACAACAGACAGGGGATAGTGCCATAACCCTACTCGAGAATGAGTCATTCCAAACTCCTTGCACGAAATTTGATAAACGCTACTACTACAGAAACTGGATTACTGTATCCTGTCGACCCAAGATAGTTGCACACGAGTAAGCGTTGTCCTTGCTACCTTTTTTATTTTTCTCGCCTATGATGTGAACAATAACCACTCCCCTGTTGCTTTGTGTGCGTACATTCTCATTTCAAACTCCCTTTATACGACAGTGCAGTTACATCTGTAAGCGCCCGAACTGAAGACTCCATTATCCCTTCGCTATCTTTTTTATCACGCTATACACCCTACGGGACATGTCAAGCACCTGCTTTTTTACCCGTTATAAATCATTGTTCATTGACATCAAAATATGGTGGGCAGTCGGCTGTCAGCAAGATCACGATAGATGCAACGAGACTTAGACTGCGCCTTTAAATGGTCAAAGGCAAATCTACTTTCCTTTAACATGAACAAGTGCAAAACATGCATGTCCGCCACATGTCCTCGTACGCAAATAAGCTTGGAGACGATAACCTGAAAACTATCTCACAAGAGCAAGACCTTGAGGTGGTGATGCTAGAGGATCTAGGCTGTTCGGCGCAGTCCTTGAATGCGTCCAAAACTGTGAATCAACATGTTGGTCTGTTGCGGAGAGCGTTCGGGCAATTTGATCCCTCCATCTTCCTCCAAATGCTCAATGCATATGTGAGGCTGCATGTGGGGTATGCGATCCAGGCTTGGCAACCCTGGTTAAAACACGATGTGGTTGTGTTGGAGACCGCCCAGCAAAGGGCAACAAAAAATGTGTAAGGGTTGGCCCGCCTGCAATACCATAGGGGACTGAGAGCCCTGGGAGTGAACAGCGGACAGTATCGTCGTCTACTGGGTGACCTCATTCTGGGGTTCCAGATCTTGAAAAACCCCGGTCACGCCTGCCGCCACCTGTTGATGCTTAGCCACAACACGGAATTGAGGGGACATAATTTAAAACTGGTCACCCAATACAGTCGGCTTTTGTGCCGCCGTAAGTATTTTTCCCTTCGAGTTTTCAACCGTGGAACACTCTTTCGACTGTTATCATTTCCTAGCCCATGCAGCCCATTTTTACAAAATGACTCAACGATACTTTACACCACCTACATTACTTGAGCTGATTTCTTTGCATTGAGTGGCAACATGGTGCAGAAAAACATTGTGTTCTCCAACCCCAGGAAAGCGGGGTAGACGGATATACCTTTGGGTTAATGTGGAAAATGTGGTGAGTTTACTGACGCGCTTTTCACTTTTGTGCAACATTTTTAAACTGAGGTTATTCCCACAAACCGTGGCCTTTTATCCGTATTATACCACTGTTCCATTGTTCCATTTTCTTCAGGGGACTAATTAGTTCATGAGGCTTCGCGAAGCCAAGCTTTACAAACTAGTTGAGTTCTGAGTAAACCAGGAGGGGCGGGGAAAATCCTGTTCCCTACTCTCATCGTTGAGCAATTGGATGTAGGTTTTAAGGCTTCCGTCTCAGGAACGCCATGATACAAGAGCGACACGTATTGAACTCCTGGCAGGTTGGCAGCAGCGCTGTCTTTTATAGCTGAACAGCTGATTTCAAGCATGCGTATTGGTGTTTTATTTTGATTCACTCTCATGTAGCTACTTTTGGCCGAAGTTATAGCTATAATGGACTTAGACGTCTGCGACTATCACACCTAACCCGATCCTACAATGGAATTTCGTCAGCGGACAACACTTTATTCTCCGACATTTGTGTTCTCTAGTACGATGTATTTCTGACATTTTTGTTGATCAGATATTGCAAATCTGATGCAATTCTTCTATGTCCTTTTCCTAACGGAATGCGCTTCTTGTTGTTGTACCACCTTAACGTAGAAAAAGTGGATGCGTTGTGTCACCATCATGCAGCTCAACAGGCCTTTGGGAGGTTGCAGCACCATCATCCAGCACCGCCGCCACCTCCGCCACCATCGTCGAGTCAGCAACCAATGTGTCCGCATATGCAGCAACACTTTGCTTCAATGTCTTCCGGTGCACCGCTAATGCGACCAGGTCAACTGACACACTCGCACACACCACTTATGCAACACAGTTCGTCCACAGGATCCGATTCAGCCACATCTGCTGATCGAAAGTCTTCTTCCAGACACGCAGGTTCTAACCCAGGAAATGATTTCGACGAAGACCTGCGCTCCGGAACAAGCCATGTTGCAAGTTTATCCGATGGCCAATTGACGTCGACTCCAGGTGGTCCCACCAGTCCGCACGGGCAAGTATCCATTGTATCAGATTCAATAACGCCGTCGAAATTTGGCCGACGAGGATCCACGAAGGTCAGTTATCCACCATGATTTTATTAATGGTCATGCTGGAGTCTGAATTATGTACTTGACACTTGCACAGACAGCGGGTGGTCTTTTCTCTTTGAAATAGTTCTCGAGATAGGGGACTATTATATCAAGTCCAAGCAAAAGCGTTGGGACTATCCACTTAGCATTTTAGCATCTCCTAGGAGATCGTGTTCCACCAGGAATTTGCTAATAAAACTAGTTTGAAAGGGGAAGCTTCCTTAAAGTGGTGAACTTTGTATAATTTCTTCTCCGGTGCTCGATCCTGTGATCACAAAACTACATCAGCGTACATATACCATCCACCTTTATCCACTTCAAAAATTCGTGCCCACTGATTACAGTTTAATCCAAAGAAGTGTAGCTTCCTATTAGGGATTCTAAAATCACATACTCACCCACCCCAAAGAGGGGTTTAGGACAATAATCTTATGATTGCATCCTGGAAAAGGAAGAAAACATAAACATAGGAGTCAGTTGCGCTTCTTGGACGCAAATCAGTAATCTGGGGCATTTGGAAGAAGCTACGGATCCGCATATGTAGTTGAGCCTAAAGTACAACCGTTTGCCTGCACGTAGCAGTATTCATACCAGCACATGAGTGGGTGGATCCTAGCACAGCGCAACTTAGAGAGCCCAGTAGTGTTCCGTAACTACGACTCACAAGGTGCTGTGCTCAAGTAATCGCATTTATGTGGGCGTCAGTCCAGGCAACCCATCTGTCTGTGTCGTCCATCTCAGGGTAAAATCTATGACCTGTCCTACTTATTGTTTCTCGCAACATTTGGATTTATAATTTTCATCCTTTATTCTGTTGGGCTCAACCACTGACAGCAACAGGCCGCACATGAATGACCGCGCCCCATCGAGCCGAAAATCAGGAGTGCATCCACTTAGATCCCAAACACTCAGATTGCAGAATGTACTCAAAAGGATTTTACGCAAAATAGAGGGTTGGGTTTTTTCAGTCTTTCGGAGGGTCTTTCGCTTGGTAAACATTATTGAAACTATTGCTCAGATGCACGTTTAATGTTCAGTTTCTATTCAATGGCGAATTATATCGGCAGTGCGATGGGGTAGCGATGGGTTCCCCACTGGGTCCGTCCCTCGCAGACGTCTTCATGGGCATGCCGGAACAGGGAAAGTTAAAGCCAACAATCTCAAGTCTCGGTTTAGATGGCCGTTACATAGACGACATTTTTATCTTGCTTCAGTCGTCTCGAAGTACCGAGGAACTAAGAAATACGTTCAACCAAGGCAATCCAGCAATAAACTTCACCTGCGAAGTTGAAGAAAACAGTCCCTTTAATTTCCTCGGTGTTGCCATGAAAACACTGGATGGGGGTGCGCTACAGTGCTGTGTCTATAGGAAAAGTACGTGGAATGGGCAGTACACAAACTTCTACAGCTTTGTGCCACAGATTTAAACGGAAGTTGATGAATACCCTGATGAGCCGAGCTGAACGTATCTGCTCGAACGACACGCTTCCGGAAGAATTGAAGTGCATTCGCTTAGTGCTAAGGGAGAATGGCTATCCGGGAAGCTTCATCAGAGCCAACATGGAGCATACGAAAAATAAGCCTGTAGTTTTCACAGTAGAACGTAAGACCATCTTCCTACATGTGCCATACAAGGGAGAGGTTGCGACGGAACTTCTATCTCGTCATCTTTCGTTTGCACCCAGACGCACCTATCCAGCAGCGCGAATGCAAATCCAGTTCACTAGCTTTCTGATGGTGAGACTAAATCCAAGGGATAAGAGGCCTGTCCACAGCAAGTCAATTTGTATCTACTCATTTTCATGCTCCTGTGGAGCGGAATACATTGGTCGTACGACACGGCGTCTATCTGTGCGAATGAAGAAACCCCACCCGGTCGGGCTTGGAACTGGATGCGAAAATATAGCGAACTCCTCAGTGGCCGCGAACCTAGCCGATACAGGACACACCACAAAGTTCACTAAATCGTTCAAAATTACCTATCAGGCCCCAAAGAATCACTCGAACTACGTCCGCAAGCGACTACTAGAAGCCGCTGAAGCAATTGCGATCCCGTTGTATGAACCCGAGCTGTGTGTTCAGAAGAAGCTAACTAAAGGCTTGGGACTGCTCTAACCCAAACGGCCGGTGACCTCTGACCCACGAGGCCACACGCGGTCAGTTGTCGTGGCTAAACTGACAGCGCTGTCAGCATCCAATTAACTCACTCTAGTAGTAACGACTTGTAATGTCTATCTGCACATGTTGACTTGCATATAATTGTATAACCCTGAGGATGAATTATCGAAAACATGTTCGCTTACCCTGACTTCTGATTATACTTTGGTTCTTTTTATAACATTATTGACTTGGCTCTGATATTACGCATGCTAAGTGAGCAAGTTACACTGTCGGAGTACATTTGGTGTGGTTGATCTTCAACTCAATACTTCTTTAACCCAATTCGAAGTAACCATGAAATCAGTTTCCGTAACACAATAGGGCTTAACTGACAACGCAATGATAGTTTGAAAGTACCATCTGCTGCTTCCTACAAAGATTTTATAACCAGTCGATTAAATTCTCCTGTCATCTGACTACTGTATTCCATCTACAGTCGTTTCATTGAGTACTTTTGTGAAAACTATTTTAACACATAGTATAAATTTCATTTGGCGACATGGCGTGTGGCTGGGGTCATTTAGGTGTCAAGTTCAGTCATCTTGATGGTTTTCTATTGCTAGCTGTGTTGTCTTTGGCGACGCATTTCTACGAAATGCGATGCTCGTAGACAGCTTAGAGAAAAATGCTGCCACATAGCTTATATTCTCGCCTGGTAATTACTTGGGTGGCCTGGCTGTCCATACAAGGGGGCCTGTCGGTGGCCTTCGGAACCGGTAAGGTCTCCGACCCGTAAGGACCCATAACACTAAAGACGTAAATTTCACAAAGAATCGTGAATCGTTCCCTATTAGTTTAGCTTATAGTGTTTACTAGCCGGTCACGCAACAAGACTTTCATGGCAAACAAAGTGCCTAGAGCAAATCCATTCATATGCCCTCACAAACGTATATGAGGGAAGAAAAATGTGACAACCCTGATGATTCTTACTTATAGTGGAGTAGTGATAGAGGAACCTCTGTAGGTCGTTACTGTTTGTGAGAATTGCTACATAGAGTTTTCGGAGTGGAACTTATTTCCCTATGACACAATTTTCGAAAAGTAGCCAAAATACTGATAAGACCCAACAGTTGGGTCTTGCAGAATCAAGTATACCATAAGCAAGTCGTCTGGTAGTTTGCGATAGCTTCACCGAATACCCCCAATCGTTGCAGCCTTTCCTGTTATAAAAGATTGCGCATTCCAATTACGTTCTTAGATGCCCGACGTTGTGGCTGCTCCAATGTATTAACCTCGTGTTTCAACCATGGATGCCAGGCTTGAATTGCCTACTCGACATGGAGGCGAACATACACGCTGAGCATTTGTCAAAATACGGAGCCGTTTATTTCTCCACATGCCTGTCGCAAGTGCTCGACGTGTTGGTTTCCAGCCCTCGAGGCCTTTTCGGATTGCTATGAACAACCCAAGGCATGAACTAGCACAAACAAGTCACGCTTGACAGTTGATTGTTGCAGTGCATTCGTTCCGAGCCGGTATGAGTAACTTCTTTGATGTCGGATGGAAACTACACGGTGAAATGCAGTAAATTTAGGGGCGACCATTGATATACCATAGCTAGATCACTCTGAAGCGGATGCTAGTCGGCGTTCGCCTGGATGCTGCACCAAATTTTGATATCATTGGTAAACATTGGGAAGTTTGAAGCGATTCCCTGTGTAAGTTCATTAATAAACACCGAAAACAAACGTGGACCTAGGACTGAGCATTGCGGCATACCACACGCGACTTGTATGGGATCCGATAAATAGCTCCGAACTCTGATCACTAAGTACCCTTGAAGTAGAAGTTGGCAGTCCAGCTTAAAAGAAGTTCACCGATCTCGCAATACTGGAGCTTGGAGGGTAGTATCCGATGGTCCAGACAATCGGAAGCCTTGGAAAAATCCAGGTAGATCACATCAACGCCTTCTCCAGCGTCAGTTGACTCGGTCCAACTGCTGCATCCGACTAGGAAAGTGGTTGTGCATGTGCGTTATCGACGGAAGCAATGTTGCTAGGGTTTGACGATGTTGCAGTTTTCCAGCTAATATACCAGTGTAGCTACAACTATGTATTCCATGACCTTGGAGACTATAGGAAGTAGGGATACTGGGCGGTAGTTATAAGGCTCAGTACAGCTTTTAACTTTGCGAATCAGGATTAATATTCCGAGCTTCAACACAGCGGTAACATGATTCGGGTTTAAGCAGCGCTGGAAAAACCGAGCGAAATATCCTGCCAGTTGGCTTGCTGCTGCTCCCAGCGCTTTTGGACGAATGGTATCGACACTCGGCAAGCTGTTTACGTAGAGAAGTCAGCATTTGCAATAGAGCCTCCGTGGTAAAACTGATGCGCGTTAGTTCTGGCAGAGGGAAGAAAATGTTGGAAGATCGCTTGGTGACAAGCCTCTCTGAAACGTGAGGGCATATTGCATCCGCAACGTGTCTGCTGCTTCCACAGCCGCTTCTTTTGGGCTATCCACCGTCTCGGGTAGATGAAATCCCTGCTTCACATTTCGTAGGCTACTGACGGGTTCGTACTACAGGTTGTTATTAGCATTGAAGGTGTTCGCGCTGTTCTGCTGATATGCGGATTTGTGTTCTCTAAGCAGGCAAGCGCCGTGGTTATGTTGGGCTACGTAGTCGTTTCCTGTTTCTGGTGCCGGAGTTTCTCTGTACACTCGCCACGCTGCGTTGCGTACTGTCATCTATTTTCGAGTTCCGCTCTTAACGAAAGAAACCGATGTATACATATTGCAAACTCTTACCTCTGAAGCCCCTGCAATCAGCTGACTGAATTTGTTGACGAACTCGAGCCAGGCGACTTCCGGCAAGGATCGATCAA